TTGTAAAAAAAAAAATTATATATCGCATTTCAACGGAGGAACTTATGACAAATATGAAAGGGCCATGTCGAATATTCTGTATTTTTAATATGTGCAGCGATACGCGTTAAATATCAGATAGCACAAATAATTTCGTGTCCGATAACGCTCCGCTTGAACTTTCGTGCAAATCCCCATAAACATATTTTCGACCGTATTTTGCGCTTTTCAAATCAGCGAGCATTTCGCAATACTGTTTGCGCGCAAATAATATATTTTGCATGTTCCCGACAACGTCTGCCTCGGAACGGGAAAATATTTTTCCGGGGAATTCCATCCTTACAGAAATAAGAGTCGGTTTATCTCCCGTTTGCAAAATAAGGGAAATAAATGAGAAATTTTCTCGTATTAAGGTCTCTGGTTGCTTCGGGAATTAGAGTGATATCGGGGTCTACCTTGTAGATGTAGATAGATACGCGGTTTATACGCAAATATATCGATCGGCGAACGGACATCTCTCGCTTATATCGGATGTAGTGATACGGGGTACGCAATTCCGTGGTATCGTAAATATTGATACGCGTTCGAAAAAGAATATTCGATTTACATGAGGAGTCCATTTATTCCGCCGTACTGGCGTATAACATCCCGCGTCTATGCATGTACGACCACGGCGTGGTCTAATGGCCAATTTGAATAAATACGATATTAATCCCCCCCCTCCCCATCGGACCAGCGGACGTCGACGCCGTGTAACCGGTCCAAATGCGGTCACTCGAATCAAGAAGAGAAAAGAAAAATTGCTGACACAACCCATTAGCGTTCGCATCGAATCGCTTGCACGCCGCGATATATCAACAGGGCAACGCACAAGAGGGGGCTTGTCGAGAGGGCAGCGCGAAAACGCGCGCGATGTCGATTACACGTGAATTTCAATTGTACGAATCTCGTCGTCAAAAAACATTTTGCGCACATCGCAGATTTCCATATTTTAGGTAGTTAGTAGCCGAGGGGCGTTTCTTTCGACATTTCATATGCGAGTGGGGCACGCGGACAGAAACATTTGCGTATGACATTGTGCATCTGCGTGCTCTTTCTCTCGTTATTTTTTAATATCTAGCTGATTTAAATAGCGAGATTAGCAACGAAATTAATTTTATTTAAAACTTAACCAGAATTGTGAACTAAAATATCTAATATGAAATATTGTGATAAGCCAGTTCTCCGAGATCGATTCGCAAAAGAACACGCACTTCAAGGATCAGTCATTTTTATTCTAGAATAACATTTTAATTATTTATTCAATTGTATTTTTTTTTTATTATTTTTTGTTCCAGGTTGTAGAGAATTGCACTTATGCGTCTAACAAATGTGAGAGATAACGAGTTTTTTTCATTTCAAAGATCAGACATTTTTATTTTATATATATAAAAAACATTTTATTCATTTCTTATTACACTGAGAAAAAATACTTAAAAATTTATTTGTAGAATATTCTGTGAAATAAACTTTATATTCCACAAATAAATTTTTAAGTAGTTTTTTCTCATTGTATCTTTTTCTCCTAGAAGAGTGCAATTCGTCTACGAAATCTAACAAAACTGAGAGACGACGCGGTTTTTTTTCCTTCCACACACGACATGATTAAGCTCCGACGAGTGAGACGTCGAGTGTTTAACTCGCGGACATATTGACGGCATGAGCGCGTACAACATGCGGAGGAACGGGTAATTAAATCCAGCCGGGGCCATCCTCTTACATATATAAGCTAGCAGACAGCGCAAATATAGATACGGGTCGCATATGTCCGGCAAATAGAATCACGCGCGCGCTGCTGCTGCTGCTGCTGCAGGATGTTCAATCGAACAGGACGCACTCAATGTCCCGAAAGGCTATCTGTCTCGACATACCCAGCACCGGCCGACCGGCTGCTACCCTCCTCGTGTGCACGCGCGCAAAGCAGCGCGGCGCATCGTTGCGTAATGCAGTGGCGGGCGCGCGATGAGAGGCCATATTAAACCGGTAATGGTGCCATTCAGTCGCGCGATAACGCGCCCCGTTGTTATCTCGCCAGTTATCGCTTCCGCGACCCGCCGCCGACCTGTGCGAGCTGTGTCTGGCCTGCGCGCGCGGATATTTCTTTCCCCGGCGCCGGCCACCGTATTGTTTCATTGTTTCCTCCACATTGCTCCGTATCGCACGGCGAGAGATCCAAGAGAGAGAAAGAAGAGAAAAAGACGTGTTATCCTGCGGAACTCGCACACGTAAAAGATTCGTCCTTTAAACAAAATCTCCCTCCTTTGTGAAATCTTCAAAATCTGTATAAGACGAGAAAAATTATCAAAAACGAACGATTATATTCGTATTTAGAATATACTTAATTATTTAGAATAGAATTAAATAAATACATCTCTTAATTATGTCGTTAAATTTTACGCTGTATAAAGGTTTGTAATGAAGCCTATAATGAAGCGTAACTTTTACAATTAAGCAGGGTAAACTGGAATAGATAAATTGTAAGAATGCCTCCGTTGCGGAACACTTTAAAATTTTGCCACGTTGCTAAAGAAACGTAAATATTACAACAGCGTGAAACTGTTGAAGTTTCGATTCGACTAATAATGAACAAATTTGTTACGATGATAAATGGCTCGCTGTCCGCCGCACTAAGCATCAAGCTTAGAGCCATCATATGAAGTGACATTAAGTGATATAACAGCGTGAGTGCAGAAGTGAAGGAGCATGTGTATCATGCTGTTAATCGCTGTTAGGGTAATCAACTACAACTTGAGAGTAATGTCCTACGTCCTGCTGAAGCCAAACTATCCTCTCATAGAATGTACCTTTGGTATAAATATAATAAATCATCTGAAATTTATTACAAAATTAGAAAAGAAATATGCTCTCTTTCTTTCTCAATTCTTATCAAATTTTTTTTAATATCTAAAATATCTTTTTTTTTCATATAGCAACGTTCACCGTATCTATCTCGAAAATTGCAACCAGATTTCCGCCAGCATAATTAGTGCCATTTACCTTCGCATCGCTTACGCCCGCAGGATTTTTTCCACTCACCCCTGCCAAGGGTGGAGGAACGCGAAAACGGTTTCACATCCCGATCGTACCCGCCTTCCATCCCCGCCCCCCTTGCTGAGCAAGGATCTAACCGGCATACTTCGTAACGTTCGCGGAAAAGCGAATGCGGCGGCGGGGCAGGATGCGATCCAGGATGCACTTCCGGCGGCACTGATTCCGCCAGCAAACCAATACCCCCCCGTTCCTCATCCTTTCGGCCTGCAATCCTTGCTCGCTACACAGGAACGGAACTCGCGATCAAATGTCGATGCTGGGGTCTCCCTCCAACCGTTCCCTCGCAATTCCCCACCTTTGCTTCTTCCTGCGAGCCACATCCGACGTACATGCATTAAGATTATTTGTACATCGCGCAAATGTGATTTCAATTATGCTCGATAATGGAGACGTATCCGTTTGATTCAATTGAAATTTCCGATATTTAAAATGTTTTACTGTCAAACGTACATCAAGACCATCCGGTTTCAATATTTCGCTGAACTATCGACCGATATTTTTTAATATATTTTTCAATACCCTTTGTATTTGTGTATATCTTTAATTTTTTATATATTTTTAAATACTTATATTGATATACCCTTAATCTTTTTTGTTATTATAAACAATTGATTTTGGACGAAATAAGATAGAATGCGAGTTTGAAGCGAGCATCAAATAATACTTACTAGCGCCCCGTTTCGCCGCAGAATTTCCCCGATATATCGCGAACAGCAAATTACATTTTCCGATCAGCCCGCACGATCGCGTGTTCGTACCTTCGCCGAAATACGCTTGCACAGGTTCTCGGACGTGTGCGCGGCCGATCGGCCGTGTCATCGAATTTGACCATGCGGCGGAATATACGCGAATAAATCTGCGTCGGCCGGGCCACGCAGGATATCCAGGAGACTTCCGTTCTGCTTCCGGCCGCGTGCCATTATAGCCTTCTCGTAGAACGTAAACGGTCTATTTTGGTTAATCAGACCGATACTGGCTTGACTGGTGACCGCGTTTCTGAAACCAGGTACGAGAAACGAGGATAATTCAACGAAATTTGGTTAACCAAGCCATTTGTATTGATCGTACAAACGCGCATAAATGACAAGAGATATGAAAGAAGTAGACAATGCCATTTATTCTCTGGTATAGGAACATTTTTCAAAGAGACAAGAAAGTACAAAAGTAGAAAAATAAGGAAATATAATAAATTGAATGGGATGAATATACACAGCGCGTAAACGCGCAAAATATACGTTTCACATATATTTCATATTTCATTTTACTTAACATTATTAACGTACCTTTGGCTTTCTAGTGGAAAAATGGATCTAAAAAAATATATCGTATTACGAAACACGTACGATAGTACGTTTTTCCAGCCACGTATATCAAAAGAGTATTACAAGACCTAGACCTAACAACGCCAACGTAATTTATGAAAGGCCACCGTGATATTTTTCTGCATTTGCATTACGTACACGCTCATCCCTCCTCGTAGAACGTGATATAAGGCAGTACGCTAGGATTTGCTGTCCGCGACAGTAGTGATGCGCGATTCTGATTCGATTATTTGAGAATCGATTCTTTTTCATGAATTAATCGTGATTATTAATCGATTATTCAGACGGTCGATTATTTGCGAATCGATTCTTTTTTCTTGATAATCGATTTAATCGATTATTTTCAGGGAGCCTATTGGCTCCTACACATGGGACGCAACACGCTTGCGCGCGGCAAGAAGCGACGCGGTAGCCAATCAAAGTTCGCCAACTGTCGCCGCGCGGTAACCGTTACCGTGTTCAGTTGCGCATTCCGTGTGCACGTGCAGCCCATTTTACTTCGAAAGTTCTAATTACGTTTTTATATTAAACAATTTGGTGTGTATCGCCGATTGCGAGCGACTTGGAGCTCGATTTGAAGCGAATGCAGCGAATAATTCTGCCATTACAAGAGTTCCCGGTCGTATTGTTTTATTATTAATAGAAACTCGGCGACGATTCGCTCGTTTCATTGTGTCGATCACGGCGGTGAAACCAGAGGTCGACGAAGACGAACGACAACGACGAGGACAATCCGTAAGTACTATGTGCAGCGTGTAAATTCTCTGTTAATGCTTTATTCTATTACCTGTTTGTAGTGTTTGTACCTTAGATTTACCCAGCTATTCTACAGTTTACTGCTCTTCTACAGGTCCTAAAGCATCAGTCGAAACAGCGAGGTCTCGTATGAGCACGTGAGGAACCGTTAACAACGGCTACGCTCTCCGGCGGAGAACCTCGATCGATTTAGCTTTGCACCATATGATGGCCAAATCTAGCGACTTGGATTGGCAAATCGAGCAGCTAAAGAAGTGTAAAATTATCAAGGAGGCTGAGGTTAAGGTACGAGGTGCGCAGGTCAACTTGTGTGCAAAAGCGAGTGAAATCCTGATCGAGGAAAGCAAGGTACAGCGTGTTGACTTACCTGTGACAGTAACTATCTCTATTTCTTGTAAACAGCTATCACTTGTCAGAATTTGACAATCATTAAATATATTTAAAGCCTATATACGCATGATGTGTTTTCCTTCGGTTTGTGGCAATATCCATGGACAGCTAACAGAGTTGCTACTACAGTATAATTTTATATTTTCTGTCTTGTCGCGTCTAGGTCCGTTATCCTGACAGAATCACGTTGGTGAGAGGAAATCACGAATCACGAGAGATAACGCAAGGATCTTGAAAACGGTGGACCGGTTTTAAAATTAAAGCAGGAATGCGAGACACGCTGGAATTCGCTTTTTTATATGATAGAGAGATATATTCAATTGGTAAACCAAGTGAACACCGTATTGATCACCCTTCCGCGAAAAAAGCAGGAGGATGTCCCAGAGATGACAACACGCGCCGAGCTACAAATTTTGAAAGATGCCTGTGCCATTTTGTGTCCAATCGAATGTGTTACCACGGAAATGTCGGGCGAGTCGTATGTCACGTGCAGCAAAATCATCCCCATCGTTAATTGCCTAGTGAAAACTTTGGAAAAACTGAACATTGAGCACGATATTTCAGACTATCTGCACAAAAATATTTTACGAGAACTTCGCAAAAGATTTGTGAATGAAGATTCAAACGTTGAAAAAAACGTTATGCTCGCTATATCCACTTTGCTGGACCCACGCTTCAAGAAACTGCACTTCCGCAGTCCATTAGCTGTTTCTACAGCAATGAGTAAGATATGTCAATTGATGAAAGAAAATCAGAGAGGGAGTCAATCTACTGCTGTCGTAGATAATATATCAAATACTATTGAGAAAACAAAAGATTTGTGGAACGTTCACGATGAATTGATAGCATCTTCATCAACAAACTGCGACGAGCCTGGTGGCGTACCAGTCGAACTTCGACAGTTCCTTAATGCTAATGTCGTCAACAGAAGCGAGGATCCACTAAAAGTTTGGTATAAACTGAAGGATATTTATCCAAAGGTGTACGAAATAGCCATGAAATATTTCGTGATTGTGGGAACGTCTGTCCCATCTGAACGCTTATTTAGTGCTGCTGGAGATATTATTAGCGCAAAAAGAAGCAGAATTACTGGAAAAAGGGCATCGGAGATTATATTTCTAGGATCTCTACCTAAAAAATACTGGACCTAAGTCACAGCGGTGCGGCGTCTCACCCGTATACCACATTATTATTATTCAAAGTTTCATTTTGCCATAACTATTATTCATTTTACCATAACTATTATTATTTAAAGTTTCATTTTGCTTCGTTTATACTTGTACTTGATAAGTCGATTTTGGTAACGAGCGTATTAATGTATTCACTGCAAATTTGTGCAAGTGGGGTATTCTGTTGTAAAAGAATTTCGCGACTTTATGATGAACATGTAATAATTCTTTTTCGTTATTACTTTAGTAACCTTCCATAATTTTAACAAAGAGGCACTAAATTATAATGTCAATATCTCAGATTACGTTTGTATGTTATTTTTATGCGAGGAGTGTGTCTGCGTGCATTCGCCAATTAATGAGGTGACATAGTAGTATCGGTACAGTAGTGTCGAACAAAATATATTTGCAAGTAATGGAAATAACGACTTTAAGTATATGTATATTTTCCTGTGAAAATATATATTTGAAAATAATTATTTGCAAATATATTTCAGCCAATATTGGGACGTACATTGAGATGCAATTATCCAGATGCGAATTAAGGCAAATGCTCCGAAAATAATTTTGTAATTGAAGACAGTATAGATATTGATACTGCATCTACAGCAATGATTTAAGTTTATTGAATGTGCAATTAAATAAAAATTTTATAGCGTGTTGCAATTACATTTGTTTTATTATTAAAAACCTTTGATTGCAATCAAATTCTTGATCTTAATCGTGCTTTATTTAAATTTTTACATCATAATTAGTCAGTCTAATGGCTTCAAAATCTTTAGATAAGAACCCGATTTTTAATCGATTATTTGAGAATCGATTCATTTTAGTCCGATTAATCGAATCGTAAATTCTTTTTTGCTAAAATTAATCGATTATGAGAATCGATTATTTTTAACGCGATGTCGCATCACTACGCGACAGCACATCCCGCTTGTCCCTTCCTACCCGAGATTTTAAGTTCGGGCTTTAACCACCGATGTAAACGTTCCACAGGGGCAGATTAAGGGAGGATTCCGCGAGACGCGGGGACGCGAACGCGCAGGGTTAACTGGCTGTACAGGGTTTAGCCGACCGCGGACGTTCGCGTTATCTCGCTGCGTCGCGTCGTCCTTCTCGGAGAGTCCGATCTCCCTGATCTCCCAAACCCACCCGCGCACTCGTGCTTCCGATAATCTTGTTCGTGGGACCAGCAGCCGACAGTCAGATATCGAAGAGCCGATGATGTCCCATCGATCGGCGAAACGACATTACTCAGCGAACTTCGTTATCCGGTTCAGCGCGATAGTACGCTGATGTAACGACATTGCCTTGGGCACTTTATATTTCGCCCTCGTTCGTTTGCTTTACCGTGAAACGTCACGAAACGTGCAGCGAGTTCTGCCAAGTCCCTTTAACGAATCGCGAGGGTAGGCCCTTGCTTCACAGTTCTTTCTCGAACCGCGAATCGTCGATTATCCATGAGTCTTGTACTCTTTGATAAAAGAATCGCCATTCAAACTGCCCAAAAATAACTTACATGGTCACGGAAAATTTTATTTTTAAAAATGTTTTAATACATTTTTGGTTGTTAATAAATGAAAGACATTTCAACATTGAATATCAACTCGTATAACTTCGTTTTTAAATATTGAAAAGGTATTTCAGCCACGTGTCGTTAGATATAACTTCAAAAAGTCATACATGAGCTCTCCTTTCCTCTTTCTCTCTCTCTCTCACACACACACACTCTCTCTCTCTCTATCTATCTATCTATCTATCTATTTATCTATCTATTTATCTATCTATCTACCTATCTGTATTCTGGAGAGATACTTTATTACAATACAATCAAAGGCTACAATAATGTTGCTAATTACACGGCCGAACGACAATTGACCGAACGGTACGCAACGGTGACCATTGCGTGAGCGTTCCATTATGAACGCTCAGCCGGGCAGAGTTTGCATTATTAAACTATTCGCAATTAACTCATTCCCCTCCAGCATTCACTTTGTCCCGCGAAAATTTCATTCCACGGAGAGTGGCGAGAATTGCAAAGGGGGGGGGGTGGGTCCAGGGCATGCGCGCGCGAGCGCGCGCTGCAAACTATCCGTCTGCATTTAGCTCGGTTAACGGGCGCGGGCATGCCTTATTTAAAGTGTACCGTATGTGTCATAAAGCCGTTACAAGCCGATTAACTTGCCTGAGTTGATTAGAGTGCAGCGGCGCTGGGTTTTATACCTCGGGCCTCGCGCGCCCGCGCCGTACCGCAGAGCGCGTGTGTTAACCGCAATTACATAACGCCGCGTTTTGTGTACATCCGTTACATATTCCACATAATAAAACCGCGCTTCCCGAGAGGGAAAATTTAGGTAAAGACAATTATACATATTTCGTATATTCTCGTGCCCAAGAACTGAGAAATGCCCGACACTATAATCATGGGATTTTACAAAATATTCGTGCATGACTTGTGATGTGACCGCGTTTAAAGGGATTTTTTTTATTTTGTTTGGAAGAGAACGTTTACACGTACGATTTATTAATATCGTGTCTGGAAAGTCTAATTAATTAGAGAAAAATAAAAATTTTAGTCAATTGATGAAGAGAAACTTTTCATTAGTGATGGTTGTTAATTAACGAATGAATGCTGGATGTAATTCGTTTGTCTCTTCGTCTACACCGGAATAAAATTTTCATTGTAAAATTCACATTTCAAAAATATTATATAATATAACTGAATTATAAAATTATCATATATAGTACATTTATTATTTTAGACTATTATTTTATTTATCGTATCATTAATTAAATTTACAGAGTTACAAAAATTACTTTTTACGAGTTTTATGCATTTTTTGAGGTTGGTAGTCGGTCAGTCAAGTAACCAACACGGCATTTAACATATTAATGAGACTTTTTCTAATTAATTAGATTTTAAAACACGATATTAATAAACCGTATGTCTAAACATTCTTTTCTTTTATTCTTCCGTTAACAGTGTTACCGCAGATAAATGACAGCAAAATGAATAAGCATCAACCAATGAAACGACATGCGGTATGAAAGAATAATCAATAGTCAGTACAAAAAAGGGAGGAGTGACAAGCCGACGGTACCACAGAAGAGAATGACGAGTCGATGGCGTGTGCAGGAAGGAGAGTGACGAGAGCCGATGGTCGAAATGGTACGTCGCGACAAAGTAACGGCAAAAGGGGCCTGCGTTGGTCGCAATGCGATTTGACACTCCGATTGGTTTGGCATCAGATAGTTTCGAGTCCTTCCCCACTTGATTGGCACTCAACATTGGCGAGCGACGAGTTTTCGCGATTTTCGAGCGGGCTCCCGAAACGGGAAACCCGACGAAGGTTTCGGCTTTCACGATCGAAAGGAGGGTGGAGGGTACGGACGGGCCCATCTCCCCCTCCCCCCTCGCCGCCGGTTCGATGAGGATATCCGAGATTCGCGGAACAGGCCAGTAAATTTCCCGTTCAATTTGGGTGTACACGATTCGCATCCCGGCTCCTATTACCTATCGGGTTCAGTGAAACGTGTTTACATCGGCGCGGATCACCCGGTATACGCCGGGCAAAGTGCGAATAAACGAGTGCACGTATTGCATTACTTTGATGTTCGAAAGCGCTCGGGAAAGACTGTACGTTTAATAACAATTACGTTGTCCGTTTCACTTTACTTAAAACCATGCATTTCATAATTTTGTAAGCCTAGTCGGAGCTCGGTTTTGAAAAACAACTCGGCAATAAACCGGCGTAAAACTCTTTCGAATGAAACCACCACTCATTACGATCTCCCTTTCAGCCGGAACATCATATAAAAAAAAACAAGCTGCACGACACGCTTTCAGTATCGTTACGTTATCGAGCTGTTGAGAGCAAACAGTTCTTTAACTGTAAACAAACCGTCATCCGTACGCATGGCATATTTGTATGACGTGTAATTTGCCAGATGATGCCGTGTAAATATTTCAAACGGCGTTATTGCACATCGCACGCATATCCACGGAATAGACGGATAGTCGTGTTTTTGATATTCGCGGCTCATCGCGCGACCCTTGTTAAATTACAAAAAAGAGAGCGAAAGGGAAAATGTCGGAAGGGGAGCGCTTCGATTTGCGGAATCGAATTGTTGCGCGTAAACGGCGTTAAACGGAGCCGCTTGGCGCGCGAATCGCGCGTGGCGCATACGAATGATCGAGTGCACGGGGCGCGCATTTACATACGACCGTTGCGTCGAGTCGACACGCATCGATATACCGCCGACAGCCGCGGCCGTCGGCATAAATACGCATTATGCGGAGAGAGGTTACTCGCGCGTTAACGCACAAAGTACCGCGGGCTCGAATCGATTCGATAAGCAGGGATCGTTCTGCACGCGCGGAATCGCCGTTTGTACGGAAACCGAATGGCGAGTCTACCGGAAGACGGAATCACGCGACCGCGAGTCCAAGTCTTGCGATTTATGTCGATTTCCATCACTGCAGCTTAATTTTAATTACTTTCCATCTTTTTCCAACTTTTATAACTATAGAAAAAGATAAAAAGTCAGTTAAACCGAGATTAAGTTAATCTACATTGATAGAAATGGATTAATTAATCGATTAATGGACATTAATCGTTTCGCAGGCGTCAAAGACAGCGCGAGGAACGTTTTCCCGCGCTTAAAAGTACAGAATGCAATTGAAGCAATTGTGTACTACAATGCTACTTTGACTGTTTACTCCGTTAATAATTTTCAACGCTCTCCGCGCATCGAATTTTGAATTCCACAAATTTTTCTGTTTGCGACGCTCCTTCCCGCAGGCTGTGCGTGCGCGCGAACTGGCAAACAACATTCGAGCTCGCCAATCGAGAGCGCACCATACTCGGCCCGGTGGCCGCATTCGAAGCCTCAAAGGATAAATAACAAAGGTGAAATTTCTAGTAAACAGAGTGGACACGTGACAGCAACCACGACTCACTTCATACGCCGTTGATCCAGCCACACGGGGGGGGGGGGGGGGGGCAGACAGCGGTCGTTAAAACAAGCAACCAGGAATACGGTTGACGGTACGGTGATCTCTCGG